AATTGCTATGATTCTGTTATGCTATTTGTGGCTAATTGTCTTATAGACATGTTTTCCAAATCTGGAGTTGTCGACCCCGGTCAAATTGTTTTTGACAACATGCCACAGAGAAATGCAGTCTCTTAGACGTCTTTAATGACTGGATATGGCATGCATAGACGCGGGGAAGATGCTCTTCGGGTTTTCGGTGAAATGAGGGAAGTGCCTCTAGTGCCTGATAGCATAACCTTCCTTGTTTTGCTTTATGCTTGTAGTCATTCGGGAATGGTGGATCATGGAATCGACCTCTTTAATAGAATGAGCAAGGATTTTGGGGTAGATCCTGGACCAGAGCATTATGCTTGCATGGTTGATCTCTGGGGTCGTGCTGGTTGTTTAGGTGAAGCTATGAAGCTCATTAATGAAATGCCTATGGAACCAACCCCAGTAGTGTGGGTTGCCTTGCTTAGTGCTTGTCGGCTACATTCAAATATAGAACTTGGGGAATTTGCTGCAAACCGTTTGTTAGAATTGGAATCCGGGAATGATGGGTCATACACATTGCTTTCAAACCTATATGCTAATGCTAGACGCTGGAAAGACGTGGCTAGGATTAGATATATGATGAAACGTTCTGGAATCAAGAAAAGACCTGGTTGCAGCTGGGTCCAAGGAAGGAAAGGCGTTGCAACCTTTTTCGTGGGAGACAGATCTCATTCACAATCTCAGCTGATAAATGAAACACTTGCAGACTTGATTCAACGCATTAAAGCCATTGGGTATGTTCCTCAGACAAGCTTTGCTCTTCATGATGTAGATGATGAAGAAAAGGGTGACCTGCTTTTTGAACACAGTGAGAAGTTGGCTCTTGCCTATGGCATCCTAACATTACCTCCAGGTGCACCTATTCGAATAACCAAGAATTTACGCATCTGTGGTGATTGCCACAGTGCCATATCTTACATTTCCAAGATTATTGAACATGAGATCATACTAAGAGATTCAAGTCACTTCCATTATTTCAAAAACGGATCCTGCTCATGCAAAGGGTACTGGTGACAACAAAATCAACCGATTCCATTTAATTTGACATGTTTGCTATGAGAGAGGTAAGGTAATTATCTTATTCTACTACACTCATTAGAAAAGTGAAGTTATCTTTATCAATAGAAGGAACTACAGATGGTCAGAATTAACTGAGTTGAACTGGCAGATAACTGAACTAATTAAATTGAAAAAAAATTGAACTGTTTAGGATAAAAATTGAATTGAACTATTTTATAGCTCAGTTTTAAAAATCCAAACTTCTAAAGTTGCAGTTCGGTGCACCGCCAAATTCAATTGTATTACTTACTGCTGGAAAAATAAATGGCAGGCCGCTTTTTGGCTTCACTCTGCACTCACTTTTTGCTCAATGAACAGAAACAATACTTTGCTAGATTTGAATGAAATTTGCAAACCCTAAATCCCCTAATTAGCACAACGAAGCAGGCTCCGTAAGATCCAGTAAAATAAGTGATGTGGTATAATCTGAATTATATCTTATGTATTTCACTAAACTTACATAGTATGAAATTGCATTCATTTCTTATGCATTTCTTTGATTTTTTATATTATCGGAGTTAAAAAAAGTGGATTTATTGGATCTTTTTTCTTTTCATTGAATCGTAGCTTAAATTTGTGCCAAGGTTTTAGACGAAAAGGAAATAAGATTTTTATTTGAATACCATCTGTTAACCATTTTTGGGGAAGTTCTCTTTCAGATAATGGAATTATATGTACATTTAATATAAATTTCTCTCTTCCAATCCCTAAAATCTATCTCTTCTTTTGTTCATTGTTCACTGCTTTGTGAGCCCCATGTCCCCACATTGTTTCCTTCTGGTTAGTTTTGTATTCATTATGCTTTTTTTTTTTATAATTGTTTTGTATTGTTGTTGTTGCACTTAGTTGTGTGATTTTCAGTGTTCTTACTTCTTTGTAGCCTTTAATTGAAATATTGAATACTTATACTTTCTTTGTTTCTTCCATCATTCGCTAGATCTTCAATCTCTACAAGTATGACATTATTTCATCCTCTTATTGTGTGCATGTGTATTTTGCTTATATGTTCCTTTTTTTGTTGTTTTTTAAGATTCAACATACCTAGTTCTATCAAGCAGGGCTTGATTCTTAATGTTATTTTCTTAATTTTATTCCTTTCAAAGTTATCTATTACCTTTTTGAATGTCTGGCAAAAACGCATAGTTTCTCCCCCAAAAATAAAGAAGGTGCCTAATTCTCAACAAGTGCAAGTATCATTTCCCTTGAAATATTATCTTGAGATTCTTAGGTGCTTGTGTTTGTAACTGAAAATTTTCTCAAGCTATAGCATTCTTTATACTCTAGGTTCATATTTCCTTATAATGGAATTTATTTTGCCCATAAAAAAGTTAAAATGCTCATAATTTCATAATTATTTTTTTTACTCATTTCTATACGTGCATCATAACAACAATTATTTTATTTAAAATATTTATTTTAGTGAAAGTGACAAAATATGTATAGTAAATAAGGTTAGCTAACTTTCAAATGAATACAAATTTTGGAAAGTACCACACAATTTATAGAAGACACAAAGTCCAAAATCATATAACTCACAAAAGAAAAAATGATTAAGGTTTTGCATGATCCAAATATTTTAAGAGAGAAGAAGATGAACATTACCCTTCAAAGCCATTTTTGTCTTTATTAATTGGTTTACATGTTGTCAAATTAATCCTTATTTAATACATTTAGCCAATGCCACATAACCATTTAACGTATTATTGTTGTCATTCTTTTATAGTCAACTAACTTATATGACGAGCAAATTTTAATTTTATAAATATTTATTTCTTTTCTTTAATTTCAAAGGTTAACTTACCAACATTTGTCAATTTTGGGATTAAAATAGTGTTTTGGTTAGAAATTATTTGAAAAAAGAAATAAAATAGGAAAATGTATTTAGATAAATTTCTTTGTGTGGATGGGGTTGTTTCACAAACTAAAAGTAGATTCTCAAAAATGTAAATCTGGGAATGTAATTGTTACACGGTTTGAAAAATATTTTCATATATTATTGTTCATTCCTGAAAATGTTGTCCTATCTCGTTATCTACATTTTTATCTCCATGAAAATAGTGGAAGTTACATCTTAATATATTTGTAACTTCTCTTTATAATTATTATTTTTAAATTTTAAATATTCTAAAAAATATTAGAACATAACTAAATATGTTTATATACCGGAGAATAACATTCCTATTATAATATTTATCAAAAAAGTGATTTCCAAGCATGTAAATGATATCTTGGAATGAATGTCTCATTAAAAAAATAGTGTTACCTTAGTTTTAAAATCTAGCTTAGACTAGTTCAACTTAGAATCAGACTGAGACATACTACTAATTTAGTTCAATTATTTGATCAATCATGCATATGAACCGATAATGATGTAATTAAATCTGATTAAAATTGGGTTGAACCAAAATATTTTACTGACCGAACCAAAGATGATTCGTCTCATAGATAAAATTTTAAATTTTTCACGTGAGACTCTGTCTTGCCAAGTCCTCTCAAGTTTGTGTTGCACATGTTCCGTCGAACAACCAAGTCCTCTCAAGTCTGCCGGTGCCATACATATGTACCAAAATTTCTTCTTTGCATTGATTAAGATATGCATGACTCGTGTTTTTTCTTAAAAAGTTTTAGAAAATTATATATATAGATAGATGAGAGATTCACTTACTCTAATAGTAAGCTTTGATAAACTTACTTCACTCAATAACTCATGTTCTACATAAATTTTTTTGAAAGATTCAATCGTCAAATTAAAATTTCTTAATGTATAGATCAAGTTTGCAAAATTTTAAAAAATTTGAAAATTATTTGATACTTCATTATTTAGATTCAAATCAATGTATAAAACAGTTTTATGATTATCTATCAATTTAAATTAATGAAATGAAATGTCAAATTATTTCTCAAAGGTTTTAAAAATTTGTAAACTTGATTTATATATTAAAATTTTTTAGTTTAACGATTGGATTGTTAAAATTCGATATAGAAAATGAGTTATTAAGTATAGTAAGTCTACCAAAACTTATTATAGAAGTAAGTGGACCCCTCTTCATACACACACATATATTAAATTACTTTTTTATTTATATACACACTTAAAAACATTAACTATTTATTTTTTCATAACAGAATGTTTTTTTATGTATTTTTTCATACAATACAAATCAATCTCTATATATTAAATATGAACTTCTATCTTGTGCAAGAGAATTTTTAAGAATTTTTATTTAAAGAAATAATTTTATATTTTTTTAGCTTATCTAATTTAGTTTTATTTTATCAAAATTGTTTATAAATTAAATTTTAATATTTTAAAAATAAATTATCAATAAATAAAATAACATTGTGTTACAGTATCAATTATTTATAAAAAATTAAATATAATTTATATATTAAAATATAAATTATTATAAGTTTTAGCTACATGTAATAAATATTTACCTTATTTGCACATGTTAAATTACTAGTATAAAGATAAATTTGAAGAAAATAAGACTTAAACCTAGGTGAATGTAATTATTTAAAATATTAGTGACTACTAAATTTTCATGTTCTATAATCATATAATTGAATTAAATAACTTATATAATATGTCTTAATTTAAAACTATATTTGTTTATATTATATTACTTTATGTTGTTTATCTAATTTATAATTTGATTGTTTTATTAGTATTATATTGATTATAATATTTTTAAGATTTTTTTTAAGATATGATATGTATTTTATTAAAATTTATAAATATAAAATATATAATATGAATTTTTTTAAGATATGATATGTATTTTATTGACTTATCTGATCCAATGATTTTGAAAATGGGTCCATTTTTTTTATTTAAAAATTAAGTGGGGGTGTAGATATAGTAATTGTCCCTGCACCGGCCCAGGCTAGGGGGACGCCTCTTCACCAAAAAGCCCATGTTATATAAGAAATTGAACCCACCAAAAGCGAAAGCTTATATTTTCAGAACGAGGAGGCGAAGAAAACCCAGAAACAAATCGAAAGGTATCACCATAGCTGATAAAATAAAAAAATAAAAGAAAAAGTAAAAGGTAGAGATAGAGGCATACGCAACAATGGTGGCTGGCAAGAAGGAGATGATTCCCCAACAGCATGACCTCGATGCCAGATGGGACGCCTGCCTTGATCTTACCGTCCGTCGCTTCGTCTACTCCTCATTTGCCGGTGCATTCGGCGGTCTCCTATTTTTCAGTCAGTAACTTATTTCTTTGATTCATTTTCATTTCTCCAAATTTGTTGCGATGCGTTTTCTTTTTTCTCGTATTCTCTTTGATTGCCTCTTAACCACCGCATTTATTTATTGGTCTTGCCTATTATATAACCCTGGATGAAGACGACTCTCTGAAATTCCTCTCAATTTTATCTATTATCTCAATAGATTCCCAAAGAAATACAAATAATTAGGAGTTGGGAAGAATGCTTGATGAGACAGCTATTTTGTGTGTGTTTTCTTTCTAGTGAGATTTCATTCACAGCACAAGTTTGAAATTTGAGCCTTTTTATGCCTGAACGCTGATGTCTGTATACTAAGGGTCTGTTTAATTCCTTTCTCACCTTTTTGTTTTAAAAGTTGTTTTTAAAACAATTTCATTCTATTCAGCAATCATTTTCTCATCCAAAATCTATTAAACTATGAAAATTGTTTCCGGAACAGTTGGGAGATGTTTTGTCATCATCTTCTGGTTTCTTCAAGTACTCGGGACAATCTTTTAAAACACAGAAATATGCTCAGAGAAGCAAGCATTTTGAAATATTTAGCCTGCCGTTTCATCTCCTTTATCTCTCCTACATTATTAGCTACAATGCCATATGTAGCAATGGGAGAGGAGCAAGCAGTGTGGCTGAGCTTGCCTGTTGAAGTTGTACGTAGCTAAACTCGAGTCTATGTAAACTTTCGGACCTTTACTTAAACTTGACATGGGGCATGTTTGAATAAATTTTTCCAGAAGCATTTTTGGGAGAAAACAAGCTTTTCAATAAGCTAAAACTAGCTTATGCATAAAGCTAATTTGTAATTTTTTTTTGTGGAATTATATGAGAACTTATATAAACTAGTTTATGTAAGCTAAAATAGCTTATGGAGAAAATTATTTATTTTTTCACCTTATTTTTTTCTCTAAGAAGTGCTTATGAAAAAGTTTATCCGAAAAGGCCCTTAGACTCCACTCGTAATCTCACAAGGGTTTGCCTAATACAAAAATAAATGTTTAAAACACCTATCATAATGTCCATGGGCAATGACCTCTGGCTTGAACAAACGAGATTCTGGCAATATGATTGATGCTTTGGTGTGTTCTGTTCTGGTTCTGATCTGAGTCTAATTTTTGTGTGAACATCAGTAACTTCTAGGTTGGGCAGAGATCATTCCAGTGTCCTCTAAAATTATGATGATTTTGGAGGCTTCTGTTGCAACAGCTAGACAGTGTTTCTGGCAACCAGGGGTGTTACAGGTCTTGGAGAAGCAGTGGTCAATCAAGGGTGTCGCAAGTTTGAAAACTGGAGTCATTCTAGGATTTTTGTTTTCAGACATTGGGTTGTCTAGCTTAGCTCTCCTTTTTCTTCTATTTGCTGACTACCCTTTGGTCAAGTTTCTCTTCTCTTTTGGGTGATAGCTTTTGGTTAAGATGGATTGTGCGTGTTATTTCACTTATTTGTCTTAGGCCTTGGCTTGTGGGAGACTGTTAGAATATATTTAGTATACCTTTAATTATCTTTGAATATCTTGTGTATGTTGTTAAATCTATTAGTCACCTAATTGAGCAAGCATTTTTAGAGCTGTTTACTGATTTTGCTTGGGCTTTCACTTGTACGCTGCTTTCCAGTAACCTCAAAGCTATTGCCGTCACTACTCACTAGTACCCGCCTGTTGTGTTGTACTAGTAATACAAGCGCAACAATCCCAATCACTCCTACAACTTTGAAACAGTGCAATTCTTTACCCCACGCGAAACTGTTGCATCAGCAAAGCATCGTTCAAGGTGTTGTCCAGTTGGTGGTGACCAACCTCATTGGCACATACATAGCCTGCAATTCTGCTTCGAACGCCATTTTGCTTGTGGAGCGCCTCACGCCGTCACTATCCTCCGTTTTCTGGTGGAATAAACTCATAAGGCGCGCCCTTCATATTGGAATCCCTCGTGACGTGTTCTCTCTCTACCGTCGCATGAAATCACTCGGCTGGACCCCAGACCACTACACCTTCCCATTTGTTTTCAAAGCTTGCGCCGAATTCCCTTCTGTCTCCCTCGGTGCTTCGCTCCATGCTACCGTTTGTCGCTCCGGCTTTGCCTCCAATGTATTCGTTTGTAATGCTGTTGTTGCTATGTACGGCAAATGTGGTGCACTCCATCATGCACACAACATGTTCGATGATTTGTGTCAGCGAGGCATTCAAGACTTGGTTTCTTGGAATTCTATTGTGTCTGCTTATATGTATGCTTTCGATGCAAATACTGCACTTGCGTTGTTTAGTAAAATGACTACACTTCATCGGATATCCCCGGACGTTATCAGCCTAGTTAACATACTTCCAGCTTGTGCTTCCCTGGCTGCCTCGTTGCGCGGCAAACAGGTTCACGGGTTTGCTATTAGAAGCGGATTGGTGGATGATGTTTTCGTAGGGAACGCTGTGGTTGATATGTATGCCAAGTGTGGCAGGATGGAGGAAGCAAATAAGGTTTTCCAGAGGATGAAGTTTAAAGATGTTGTTTCTTGGAATGCCATGGTCACCGGCTATTCTCAAGCAGGAAGATTGGAGCATGCTCTTTCTTTGTTCGAGAAGATGCGCGAGGAAAACATCGAATTAGATGTTGTGACGTGGACTGCTGTTATCACAGGGTATGCGCAGAGAGGGCAAGGTTGTGAAGCTTTGGATGTGTTTAGGCAGATGTTGAACTCTGGTTCTCGTCCAAATGTAGTTACTCTCGTGTCCTTGCTTTCAGCTTGTGCGTCTGTTGGAGCATTGCTTCATGGGAAAGAAACTCATTGTTATGCCATCAAATTTATTCTTAACTTAGATGGACAAGATCCTGGGGATGATGATTTGAAGGTGATTAATGGTCTAATTGACATGTATGCTAAATGCCAAAGTACAGAAATTGCTAGAAAAATGTTTGATTCAGTATCCACAAAAGATAGGGACGTGGTTACCTGGACTGTGATGATTGGCGGGTATGCCCAGCACGGTGATGCCAATCATGCCCTACAACTTTTCTCTGAGATGTTTCAAACGGATAAGTCTATCAAGCCTAATGATTTTACTTTATCATGTACCCTTGTGGCCTGTGCTCGTTTAGCAGCATTGAGGTTTGGGAGGCAAATTCATGCTTATGTGTTGCGCAATTGCTATGATTCTGTTATGCTATTTGTGGCTAATTGTCTTATAGACATGTATTCCAAATCTGGAGATGTCGACACCGGTCAAATTGTTTTTGACAACATGCCACAGAGAAATGCAGTCTCTTGGACGTCTTTAATGACTGGATATGGCATGCATGGACGCGGTGAAGATGCTCTTCGGGTTTTTGGTGAAATGAGGGAAGTGCCTCTAGTGCCTGATAGCATAACCTTCCTTGTTTTGCTTTATGCTTGTAGTCATTCGGGAATGGTGGATCATGGAATCGACCTCTTTAATAGAATGAGCAAGGATTTTGGGGTAGATCCTGGACCAGAGCATTATGCTTGCATGGTTGATCTCTGGGGTCGTGCTGGTTGTTTAGGTGAAGCTATGAAGCTCATTAATGAAATGCCTATGGAACCAACCCCAGTAGTGTGGGTTGCCTTGCTTAGTGCTTGTCGGCTACATTCAAATATAGAACTTGGGGAATTTGCTGCAAACCGTTTGTTAGAATTGGAATCCGGGAATGATGGGTCATACACATTGCTTTCAAACCTATATGCTAATGCTAGACGCTGGAAAGACGTGGCTAGGATTAGATATATGATGAAACGTTCTGGAATCAAGAAAAGACCTGGTTGCAGCTGGGTCCAAGGAAGGAAAGGCGTTGCAACCTTTTTCGTGGGAGACAGATCTCATTCACAATCTCAGCTGATAAATGAAACACTTGCAGACTTGATTCAACGCATTAAAGCCATTGGGTATGTTCCTCAGACAAGCTTTGCTCTTCATGATGTAGATGATGAAGAAAAGGGTGACCTGCTTTTTGAACACAGTGAGAAGTTGGCTCTTGCCTATGGCATCCTAACATTACCTCCAGGTGCACCTATTCGAATAACCAAGAATTTACGCATCTGTGGTGATTGCCACAGTGCCATATCTTACATTTCCAAGATTATTGAACATGAGATCATACTAAGAGATTCAAGTCGCTTCCATCATTTCAAAAACGGATCATGCTCATGCAAAGGGTACTGGTGACAACAAAATCAACTGATTCCATTTAATTTGACATGTTTGCTTTGAGAGAGGTAAGGTAATTATCTTATTCTACTACACTCATTAGAAAAGTGAAGTTATCTTTATCGATAGAAGGAACTACGGATGGTCAGAATTAACTGAGTTGAACTGGCAGATAACTGAACTAATTAAATTGAAAAAAAATTGAACTGTTTAGGATAAAAATTGAATTGAACTATTTTATAGTTCAGTTTTAAAAATCCAAACTTCTAAAGTTGATGTTCGGTGCACCGCCAAATTCAATTGTATTACTTACTGCTGGAAAAATAAATGGCAGGCCGCTTTTTGGCTTCACTCTGCACTCACTTTTTGCTCAATGAACAGAAACAATACTTTGCTAGATTTGAATGAAATTTGCAAACCCTAAATCCCCTAATTAGCACAACGACGCAGGCCCCGTAAGATCCAGTAAAATAAGTGATGTGGTATAATCTGAATTATATCTTATGTATTTCACTAAACTTACATAGTATGAAATTGCATTTATTTCTTATGCATTTCTTCGATTTTTTATATTATCGGAGTCAAAAAAAGTGGATTTATTGGATCTTTTTTCTTTTCATTGAATCGTAGCTTAAATTTGTGCCAAGGTTTTAGACGAAAAGGAAATAAGATTTTTATTTGAATACCATCTGTTAACCATTTTTGGGGAAATTCTCTTTCAGATAATGGAATTATATGTACATTTAATATAGATTTCTCTCTTCCAATCCCTAAAATCTATCTCTTCTTTTGTTCACTGTTCACTGCTTTGTGAGAGACTGTTCGAATATATTTAGTATACCTTTAATTATCTTTGAATATCTTGTGTATGTTGTTAAATCTATTAGTCACCTAATTGAGCAAGCATTTTTAGAGCTGTTTACTGATTTTGCTTGGGCTTTCATTTGTTTGAGAATTTTTTTTCTATTTACGATTTCTGTTTTTACTGTTTCCTGTTTTCATTTTTCAATGTTTCGTATAGGAAAAAGTGAAAATGAAAATAGAAAACAATAAAGTGTTTCCTCTGTTTCCCATACAAACTTTTGAAAATTAGAAACAAAGTGAAAATACAAAACTTTTTTTCAAATCAAATGGCTCTTTATATTTCTGATTTTTTTCTCCTTATTTTATTTGATTACTTGGTCTTTCTTGGTGGACCTGGGATTGCACTTGTGGTTCTAGTACTTGATCTAATTATAGTATAAATAAGAGTATTATGTTGGGGTATCGTAAAGATTACATCCTATCAAGAAAATATTCACTAATATTATTGTTAGACATCTTTCTCTTGTTTCCTTCTTCCCTTACCCTAAACCTATACTTTTTATTAAAATGATAATTTAATTGATTAGATTGAAGCGGAGGTAAAAACTGCTCAACATCAATTTTTTGTTTTCTTAGTCAATAAAACTCTATCAATTAGCATATTAATGGAGCTCCTAAAAAATAACATACTTTTTTGGCTTAAATATGTTCAAGGTTCTTGAAAATATGATGACCTTTTAAGTCCTTACCATTTTTCTTTTTTGGTTTGTGATTCTTCCAATGTTTGTTGTCACTTGTCAGTTGTCACTTGTTTTGGTTCCTGCCATTAATTTGCCCTAGAAAAATGTTTTATGCTCCTGCAAATATAGCAGTTTTGTTTTTATGTTCTTGCAAAATATAGCAATTTTGTTCTTAGTCCCTGCAAATTTAGTTTTTTTTTTTTAAGTTCATGCCATTATGTCCCACAAACTATCGTGGTTTCTTTTGTTTACCATGTCTTTGCTCTCGCAGATTTGGATGAAAATTGTTTAACTATATTTATCTACAATCCCCTGCATTTTTTTTTTTCAATTAGTATATCTTTTTGTATGTTTAGAAAGTAAATATTGAAAGTTCTATTTGTTTTGCTAAATTGGATTTGCATGCTGGTGCATAGTACTGCCTCTGAGCCTACTATGGTTGCATTTAAGGCCAATGCCAGTTTGAAAAAGAATGTATGGTTAGGGATGGCCATATAGGTTGAACCTGGTAGGTCAACCCACCTATTTTTTGTGGGTTAGGTTGGATAAATAAACCCACTAACCCACCCTGCCCAACTCGTCAACCTGGCGGGTTCAATCTGCCAACCCACATTTTTATATTTTATGTTGTTAAGAGATAAATTTTATTGTAGATTTATGTTGGATCAATATTTATATTTTATAATTTAAATTCTCTTTCTAGAAAACTATTCTTATTTTATATGAAATAGAAGTATATTGTTTTAATTACTTATTTATTACTAGTACATTTTCACGTATGGTGTCTTTTTTTAATAAAAATGTATATTACTTTGTCCCTTTTCATGAAAAATATAGCACCTCTAATCAATTTTATAAATAATAAAATTATAGATTAAAGTGATAATGTATATTGAAATATTTTAATTGAGATTTTTTTTAGAAAAAAATTTGGGTGAGTAGAAGGTAGGTTAATTTGTCAACTGATTTGCTTTAGGTGGGTTGACTTATTTTGTCACCCCTAATAATTAGTATGCATGCACTTGAATTAACCCATGGAGGCATTCAAGGTAAGGATTACTAGTCAATTTTCTATGTGTTCAATGATGAATTGGTGATCACCTATATTTTGCAAAGTTGGCCGAGCATACATTTATAACGTATAAGTCAATTTGTTGGGTGAGTGTCATGATTAGCCTTGTCGTTAATGGTCTCATATTAATTAGAAATTTTTGGTATTTATAATCAATTTAAGCCCCTGATTCTTTTTATATTATGAAAAACTAGGTTTAGTTATTTATTTGTTGGTGATTTAGATTAGTGCTTATTAATATTATGTGTTTTTCTTTACAATTATACAATACAATAATTTTGTAAGCATTATCTACCTTTATTCACTTTTCCCCCCAATATAATGGGCTATTTTTGCATTGCATTGAATGGGGACTTGAATCTTTGTGGTTGAGACCTCCACAAATTGTTAATACTTAATTTTGTATTTCTTCATTTCTGATTGTTGTACTAGGGAGTCCTTTGACTCGATGGGCATCTATTGCTTTTGGTGCTGGAGTTGGAATCGGATCTGCATATGCAGATTGTTCTCGTCTGTTTGACGGACCTCCAACAAAGTTTGCCCTACCTGAGGTCTCCGAAACTGCTACACAGGTAGGATATGTTAGGATCCAATTGCAAGGCATGATTGTCCAAAGCATGTGTCATATGTCAAAAGCTATAGTAGGCAGAGTTATAGTGTTAATAAATACATACCTATTGTAAATGGAATGAAGTTATAAATCATGCGCAATGGCAACGATATTGTACCATTGCATCAAGTTGTGTTGCAGCAGGTGATAGTAATAGGTTCTCATTTGCATCATAGTAGTCAATTTCAAACAATGGCTCGGTACTGCCTGTAAATGCCCGTAACTGCCCGTAAAGGGAGTTGATCAGTTGGTATTGGGCTAGGGAGGATCCTAGATATCTCAAATGTCCACTCTTTGTTTTCAGTTCTTGGTACCGTACCCACATGGGAGCAGGTTTTGAAATTAGGCTTCATTAATAATAGTCAACTGCACCTCCAAATGCCCAAAGGCCCCAATTATCTGCCTTTGCAAAATCTATTTTTAGTATAAATGGAAGAGGAAAGTAGTTAACATTTGTGATGGTAATTAATTGGAACATAAAGTGCATTGACATATACGCCATTAAAAAAAATAGTTCAATGTGTTCTTACATGTAACCGGAGTGTCCTCAACCTCTCATCAGGCTGGGGTAGTAAGACGCAGGGCACTGGCAGTCTGTTAGTTTTGCTCATGCAAGAAACCTATGTATTATTTAAAAAAACTGGATTGTATCATAATTAACGTATTTCTTGCTTTTGTTTGCAGAATGTGCAGGGCTCTGAGTAGATGTTATAACGGATACTGGTTCCTGTACGGAGAATCGGATTTTTCTTGTGATTGTTGATGGTTCCTTTCAGCATTCTTGCTCTTAAAAATGTTGCACTACAATGATTTCATAAATGAACATCACGTATGGATATTTTATTCCCAAGCTTTTACGCATTTGATCTCCTGTAATCTTGCGCATTGTTTATGTGGAGAAGGATTGAAAAGGCAAAGGAAGCCTTCTTCAGATTTGATTTTTCTATTCGCTTTACTTTTAACCCTATCTGGTATATTTTGCATGCCAATGTTTTAAACTGACAAAATTTTCAGGCGATGATTCAATCAGTTTAATTGGTTAAATCAAATGATTGAACTAGATGCATTAATAACTAATGTAATATGTTAATAAATTTAATGAAATGGATTTTAGAATAAAATTATAATTCAGATTTATAAACAAATTCTTTTTCAGTCTGACTCAGATTTTGGATTTTTTAGCAATTAAAAACTTGTTTTTAAAAGTAAAAAAGCAAAAACTTGTTTGATAAGAGTACTTTCAAATGGATACCTTTCGCTTATGAACCTATAGAAATTTAATTAGAAAATTTTAAAATTACAATGACTTAACTAAAGGTTTTTAAATGATAATAACCTAATTAAAGTTTTAGTTTAAATATATTTTTTGTCCTTTAAATTTAGGATAATTTTTTTAATGATTTTTTAAATTTAAAATTATTATTTTTAGTTCTTGTAATATTTGAAAATATTGTTTAATCTCTTAGGTCATCAATAATATTTGAAAGCAATAAATTGGGGCAATTATGTAGTGTTAGTTGAATTTAATGTAATGTTTCTACTAACAAAGATACTAGTAGATAAATTTTATGTGATTATTTGATAGATTTTTTAATAAAATTTGAGTAAAAGGATTAAAACAAGATTTTTTTTAAATTACAAGAATTAAAATATCAGTTTTAAATTTGAAGGGTTAAAAGTAAATTTATTTTAAATTTGAAAAATTATAAACATTTAAATATAAAGGTTTTAATGAAATTATAAAAGACTTATTTAATTTAATTTGAAAGATTTGTTAAATACCTTTTATAAAATAAGTATGGCTTAAATGTAATTTTGGTTTCCTCAATATCGTGTGATTTTAACTTTTCATGTTTCAATTGAGTAAATTATATTTTTTTTTAGAGATATCATAATTATACAATTTTAATTTTTCCTTCAATTATTTGTTAAAAATCTAACAAGTGACATATAGGAAGAAAATTGTTAAAATGATATTTTAAGCTCTCACATTATTTTAATGATATTTTAATGTAAGTTGATGTTGTTTTTAGCATAATATTTGTCCAAAACTAAGGTGTGAATTCATGATATTTTATAAATTAGAAGAGAATACAAATGAACATAACAAAGGCGTGAAATGCATTGGAAAGTTCCCTGAATAAGATTATAGTTCCTATAAATCTGGTGAATTTTAGTTTTGGTCCTTCAATGATATATATATATATATATATATATATATATATATATATATATATATATTATTTCAGTGCATATAATGGTATTTTAAGTTTAGAAAATAACCCATATTATTATTCATTGACGATTTGGTGTGCATAAGACATGAAATAGTATAAAATAAAAAATAAAAAATCTCATATTTGTTATTTTAGAATATTTACATTTGCTTCAAATGGATGTAGAAATTAAAATTACTTACATTAATTGATACTAAAACTAATGTAAAAAATTTACCTTTTACATCGATTCTTAACCAACCGTTCTTGAAAGTGATTTTCTACTTCGTTTAAGGTTACAACTAACATAAAAAAAAAAAAAATTTCTTTTTTATTTAAAAAAAAGTCTAATAAAATAAACCCATTACCTTGTACATTTCAGATCATAGAACTACATTTCACAACCAATTTATAGTCAATTGTTATAATTTCAGTAAACAGCTCTAAAAATGAAAGCCCAAGCAAAATCAGTAAACAGCTCTAAAAATTCTTGCTCAATTAGGTGACTAATAAATTTAACAACATACACAAGATATTCAAAGATAATTAAAGGTATACTAAATACATTCTAACAGTCTCCCACAAGCCAAGGCCTAAGACAAATAAGTGAAATAACACGCACAATCCATCTTAACCAAAAGCTATCACCCAAAAGAGAAGAGAAACTTGACCCAAGGGTAGTCAGCAAAGAGAAGAAAAAGGAGAGCTAAGCTAGACAACCCAATGTCTGAAAACAAAAATCCTAGAATGACTCCAGTTTTCAAACTTGCGACACCCTTGATTGACCACTGCTTCTCCCATACCTGTAACACCCCTAGTTGCCAGAAACACTGTCTAGCTATTGCAACAGAAGCCTCCAAAATCATCATAATTTTAGAGGACACTAGAATGATCTCTGCCCAACCTAGAAGATACTGATGTTCACACAAAAATTAGACTCAGCTCAGAACCAGAACAGAACACACCAAAGCATCAATCATATTGCTAGAATCTTGTTTGTTCAAGCCAGAGGTATGTAACAAGTGAAGGTCAGGAAAGGGAGGGAAAAGATCATGAAAGCAGGTCAGACCGTGAGGGTGGAAGAAGCTCGTGGAGACAGGCGCGTGAGGAGATATAATGTGAGGCTCAAAGATTATGATTGGGCAGGAGCGCATTAAATAGAAGTTCGTTAGAGGAGAGAGGGTGTGGTGTACTGTTATTTCTTCTCTCTGACAAATCTTCATTTCTTTCTGTGCCTTCTCTTTTCTATGCATATGTCATTTCTGTTGCATTGAATTTTGTATTAAATCCCGTGTAAGGAAAAAAATCCAGAAAAGATTCATAAATACTACTATAATATCAATTCCATTTCCTTAAATTGTGATCCTGTTACATTGGTGCTTTCATTATCTGAACCATGGCTGAAAACACTAGAATGAAAGAACTAGCTA